CTTTCAATTTTCTTGTCACTTTTGCCTAAATATTAGGTTATTGTTTAAGCTCTCAAATCTATTACATTAATCTATATATTTACCTTTATATCAATACTGCATTATTTTCATTACTATGACTTTTGTAGTAAGTTTTGAAATTGGGAAGTATGAGTCTGTATGAGTCTTTCAACTTTTTTCTTCCTTTTTTTTCAAGATTTTTTTTAAACTATTTTGAATCACTTTCATTTCCATATAAACTTTAGGGATTCTTTGTTAATTTCTAAAAAAATAAGACTGCTGAATTTTGATAAGATCACATTGAGTCGAAGACCAGTTTGGGGAATCTCCATTAACACAAGGTGTTTTTCATTCTTAGGGTTTTAAAAACATTTCTTTCAGCAATACTTTGTATTGTCAGCATGTAAGTCTTACACTTCATTTGTTAAATGTGTTTTTTCTTTTGAAGTTGTTTTTTAAATAAAATTGTCTTCAAGGTTTTTATTTCATACTATTAATTGCTTGTGTTTAAAACTCCAATTGCTTTTAGTATCTTGATTTTATGTCCTGCTATCTTTTTGAGCTCAATTATTAATTCTAATTGATTTTTATGAATTCTTAAGAATAGAGAAAATTTTCTGCATATGAGATCATAACATTTGAGAATAGAAATAATTTTACTTTTTTCTTTCCATTCTGGAGAACTTTTTTTTTGCTTAACTAATTGCCCTGGTTGGACTCTCCAGCACTACAATGAATAGAAATGGTGAGAATAGACATTGTCTTCTTTCTGAACTTAGGTGGAAAACATTTATCCTTTTACCATTAAACATGATGTGACTTATATATTTTTCTTAGATGCCCTTTACCAGGTTGAAAAATAAGCCATACTTTACATCCTCTTCTATTTTGAGAAGAAGAATTTGTTAAGTATTGGCATCAATTCTTCAAATGTTTAGTAGAATCTATCAGTGAAATTATGTAGACCTGGACCTTTCTTTGTGGGATGTTATAAAAAACTACTAATTCAATTTCTTTACTTGTTTAGACCTATTTAATTTTTTGATTTCTTTTTGAGTGAGTCATATGTAGTCTGTGTCTCTGTAGGAATATGTTTATCATCTAGGTTATCTAATTTGTTGGCAGTACAGTTGGTCATAGCATTCTCTTATAATTAGTTTTATTATTGTATAGTCAGTGGTAATGTTTCCTCCTTCATTCTTGATGTTAGTAATCTGAATCTTCTCTGTATTTTTCTTGTTCAGTCCAGCTAAAGCTTTGTGTCTATTTTGTTGGTTTTTCCAATGGAATCTTTCTAGTGTGCCCTAAATATGTATTTTATACACATAAAACCACAAAAAGGAGAGAAGAAGAAGAAAGGGAAAAATCTTAGCAAAAATATCCCTTCATGTCCCATTTTGGTATCTAGGAAAGCATTACAGATAAGGAGTCATATCTTAGTATTCTCCTAGGAACAACTAGAATCACAGCGCAGATACAGGAAGAGATGAATCAGAGTTCAGATGTTGTGGCTTGGAGTATTATATGTTGCTCACAGAACTTCAGTGAGATTGATCCAAAGTCTTTTATTTCACACTGTGACATGCTCATAGATGTGTAGATGGGAGAGAGATCTCTTTTCTTTGAAATTATATTTCATGGTAGCAATGGAAAGAAGGGTGGAAATCATGTTTGACAGGAACACATTGAAGCACTCTCCTTGGGTGTCAGGGATTGGGCAAGATTGCTGGGTAATTTGAGGAAAAGTGGTTAGCCCTCCAAAGGCATAGTTAGAAGCCATGGGAGGTCAAGCAGGGCTATCATCTGGCTTTAAAATTGGCAAACAGTCAGCTTGTTTTATTTTATTTAAGTAAAGGACTGTCTGATATACATATGTGGGGGAAATATGGGTACAGATGTGGAGAACCTGAGCAGATGAGAAGGAAATAAGATGAGGGACTAAGGAAAGAGGCCAATGAGCCAATGTGGCAGCTGCCATATGGTATAGACCTTTGAGTCTAATGCCACCTATTGTATATTTTCCTATGTAATAGCTCTGCTCCATATTTTCAGCCAACTTGCAATAAATTATTCATCAGTGCCTTTGTATGTGTGTTTGTGTGTGTGAGCGTGCACCCAATATGATTGATTTTCCATTGGCCAAATTCAGAAAGAAGGTTTTCAAAAGTGTATTCTAGGTTTCACTCAGCTGAAAGGTCCATAAGGGACGCTGGTAGAGGGTAACAACAGCGCCACCTGTCTCCTCTATAATTAGTACAGGTCTCTTGGTTTATTATTATTATTATCAACTTTGCAACTCTTTTAAAAACTTCATTTTGGAAAGACAAGCTTATTCTTAAGAACTTTTGTCTGAAAAACTTGGAGCCAGATTATTTCGAATGTAATTTCTATGGTGTTATGGAATGAAAGGAAAAAGATTGACTACAGAAATCAAAAGACACATCTAATCTTTTCATTTTTTGGTGGTTTTGTTATTAGTAATAAGTAGGAAACAGATGAGCAGCGTAAACTCAGGAAGGGACAAGTCAAAGTCTTAAAGAGACAAAGTTTATTTCTGCAGCGTGTAAACTCTGGCCCTCAATTCCCTGGACTTCCTCCTTGGTTTAACAGTCTTGGCACTGTCTTTCTCTTCACAACTACCTTTCTTTGCACTTTCTCTTGTTATTCCAAGTGAATTCAGAAGGTAGAATAGGATCAATAATCCATTAAATTGATCCAACAAGGTAAAACTCAGCTGCTGTCTCTCTCTCTCTCTCTCTTTAACTTTAGTCAAATAACAGAGAGCATTCACTTACTCTGTCCCAGACTGTCGTGTTTTAAGAGAGAAAACAATACAATAAATTGTATATCAAAAACTTTCCAATCTGGTCTTCCCATGGTCGACCCTTCAGGCATGCTTACTACCCAAGGGGTGTTGCTCTGATTAGTGGAGGTGTCAATATACTAACAGCAAATTGTGTTGGTTTGCAAACTTGTGCATGTCAGATGGAATTACTGCGAAATGGACTGATGAGCTATCAATGTAAAATAAAAGTTATTAGTTTTATAAGACGTGTTTGAATTGTTTGAAAAATAAAGTTGATATATCCATTGCATTGAAATATGATAATAAATAAGCATGAGACAATTGTTATGGTTAGCAAAAAAATAATCATCTAAATGCATTGTTTACTCAATTGCATAAATATCAATAGTTCATTACTTGAAATAAAGAGAATATATAAATTGCACAATGGGACCTTATGAACATGCATGGAAAACAATACTGAACTTGAGTAAGGGGAATTAAATTCAAAGAAACAATTAGTCTATGTCAAGATTTTGGAAATGAATGTACATTAATTTGTTTCAATGTCAACAATGTTTAGATTATGATTTTTTAAAAATAATTCTATTTTTATTCTATTATTTTCAATGAACTGATTTTATCACTCCTGATAGGATAGTAAATTACTCTGTAGTAATCCTTTTTGTGGTTGTTTACTTTGTGTAGGCATTTATTGTTTTATTTATGTTTCAGTACAACCCTTCTAAATAAGTGGAGGCAATTCTCATTTTATATTTGAAGAATCTAAAACTTAGGTTAAATGATTGACTCAAAGTCCCACAGTTAAGGACATCCATAGTAAGAAATGAACAAATGAAGAGATATAAGAAAACACAAAACCAAAATTCTTCTAAAGAGCATTCTTAAATTGTAGTATCATTCATTAATTAAAAAAAAATATTGAGCAATAGTTGGGGACCAGATTTCAAGAATATGCAAAAAATTTAAAAATACTTATGTTTAAAAACACATGCATTTGAAAATAATGAGAGGAAAAATGATTAAGAGAGATAATCACAATGTAACACGAAGATTAAGGACCATTAGAGAACTGAAGAGCCCATCAGAGAGGTTATAGGGCCACAGAGAGAACGTGGAAGCACAAGCCACTTCTGTGTCTCAGTTTTTCTACTTTTTAAAATGCATATAATAATGGTTCATAATTATTATAATATGCAAAGGGCAATTAGAAGTCTTAACGTGTTTAGCAGAAACCTGGCAAATAGCTTGTTTTTGGCAAATGGTGGATGTTAGTACTGGCTGGGCCATCAGACCTGTTTTCTTCCACATCCTCTGAACTCAAGAACATTGGGCTTTATATTTCAATCCCCCAAATCAGTCAATTCAAAACAAAAGCCATCAAATTAGTTTTTTTTTTTTTTTTTTTTGAGGTCTGACACAGAATGCACTAAACTTTGCCTCTTTTAGCCTCCTGTGCTGTATGCAAATTAACATGGTCTCAGGAGGCCAGCAGCAATGGCAACCAGGGAAGAAGGAGCAAGGCTGATTACTCTCTAGAGTGATTTTAGAAATTCAGCTTATTGACTGAAGGATGTGAAGTAAACAGTCTTCCCTGGCTTTTGCACTTATTTCTACTTCTGTGTAGAGGACAAATAGTCCCTATATTTATCTTTTCTTCTTTTTACTTTATATCAGTTTTTTGTTTGCCTGTTACTTGGCAAAAAAAAAATCAATAAACAACAACAACAAAACCTTTTATTGTCAATTTCTTGGTACTTGATGTAGGGTCTTTTTTATTTGTTTTCATCTTGTGTTCCCATCGATTTTAGTTCATTGTTGCTCAGAACATTTTTCTCTTTTTTGGTTATCAAGATCATAATTCATGGCCGTGTTTCACATTCACACATGAACTGAGATATGGAACCCAAATGCATATTTCATGATGTTTAAAGTTAGAGGTATATGGAAATTTTAAAATTTACCATCTGGGAAATAAAAAAAAATGAGTCAAGATAACAATAAAGAGTGTTGGATGTATAAACTTAATACTAACCACAGACTCCAGAGAAAGACTCTACGACTTGAGTAGTCTCATTTCTTAAAAGTTTAGTCATAAAGCATCACTTTCAGTCTTTCTCTGATTAACAATGAAAAAAGAAACCAATGTCACTACCTCTTTCCCTCAATCTTTCTAGGTAGATGTTTTGCGATTACAAGAAATGTTTGTTTATGAAGCAATTGAGGGGATGACGCTAATGTAAGCAAGAGTCACTTATGAATGCCAGCAGGGCCTTCAGAATTGCAGTGGCCGAAATTATAAGAATTTTTATAGAAAGAAAAACCTGAAAATTCTGAATGGTGAATGGAAGAATCCTAGGCAAAAGAGAGAAGTAAGAGCTTTCAGTGGGAAATCTGCCAGCGAAGAAGGAATGCCCTAAAAGGCTTGCATTACAGTGGAAGAAGACTGAGCCTTGAGATTGCCAACAACTCCTAAAGAGCCAGGCAATGTGGGGCTGACTTCTTCCCTGGGGCTGTTGTCATCATCATGGTCTTCATCAACCCCAACATATGTTCCTGGTTACTACTCCCAGCTTTTCAGGTGAGTTTCCACATATATGGAGAACATTACTAAATCACATACACATCTCACTTCCAAGAAGGGTCATCTCAGAATCTCTATTTTGATTACTGCATCATCTCCCAGCCCTTTAGTGGTCTAATTGATTCTCTGACTTCTCTCCAAGTTCTTCGGCTCTTACTTAGTTTAAGATCACAGAACAGCATTGGGGGTGCCAGTAAATGTCTATCAACAACTCTCTTGAGAGCCCTAGTACATTTTCTACAACCTAAAATAGACTCCTGTATTTTCCATGGTAGCTTTTTATTTAAAATTTTCAAATCTGAAAATGGGTTGGTTTCAAGTTTAAAAAATAAGATAGGGATAGTTAATTAACCTGGCTCAATTTGTGCTCACAGTCTCATTTCAATTTCCAGTGAAGGCAACTCATGATCTTTTAACATGTTTTGGCCTATCCTTGTCTCCCTTAGTTTCTTCCCTGTATTTGGTGCAGATAACACAAAATTGGCTCTGTTCTTGTTGGCTACAACCATTCCCATGTTGGTTATCTTGTGGTAACTATGTCCAAGAATCATTATGTTAACCACTGAAGTCAGCCTCTTGCTGTTTCCTGATGATGTACCTACTGACATGCTTGCTGAACAGCATCCAAAGGTATTCAAGTAGGAAACTTCAGAGAGTTCAGGTTTTCCTGTTTACACAGTTAGATAATAGTTTTGTCTTGACATACGAGCTTTTGTTTTTGTGATGTGCTAAAAGCTGATTCTGCCTTAGCCACTTTGAAGTAGTGGTGCACTGTGAGACTGAGTTTTCAAATGAGTAGAGTTTAGTCTTGCTTTCCAGGCAATAAAAACAATAAAAATCTTGAGCCAATTTTGATTGAAATTTAAAGAACTCCCTACACTTCTCTTCGGTTTGGTTTCTGAAGTCCAGTTTTTTTTTTTTTTTTCTTACTATAGAACTATTACCTTTGGAGCTGTGAGCCAACATATGGTTTAAGTCAGCACTTTGGGCTAAAGCTGTGTTGTTATCTGTTTTGCTTATGTTACAAATTGTTCTTAAACAAATTGTGGGAACAAAGAACTTTGTTAAATCCGACACTCTACTTGTGGTTTCTAGGTGTTAAAAACATTTTCCCCAATAAGGGAACACCCAAAATTGATATAATCAGCACTTTGGCAATGATATTATAAAAATGAATGGATAGATGATTTTTCTGGGCAATTTTCAAACTTATGAACACTTCTAAAGCTTAAAGTGGTGTCATTTTGAGTTGTATTTCAATTGTTCTAAATGTAGATCATTTCATGTGCAGCAGTGTTCAGTACCAAAAATATGATACTCAGGCAATGTCTTACATGATACTTTGAATAGAACATCAGATAATTTGATTAAGTTGTATAAACAGTTTTTAAGTTCAGAGATTAAAAGAAAGTTAATTCATATGTGAGTCACCATTCTAGTAAGAAAAAATAAACTGTTTATGTAAAGGACATGCAAGTTAACTAGTGGGGAATTTTGGGTTCTTAAGGATGATCATGAATCATTATGAATAGGCAAGAAGAAAAAAGATCATGGAAAATGGTATCTTCAAGTATCAGAAAATCAGATTTTATAGCAGCAGTTTTCTGTCATTTTGCTCCTGTCTGATCGAAGAGGAAATTTCATAATGATTTTAACTCATACTCTATTTCAGCATGTGTTTCAGAGAATCTTTGTGGAATTGGAAATAGGTGTAGTGAATGATTTGCAGTGGTATAGCACATTCCCACCAAAGTAGGTCAGGTCATGGTCCTGCTAAGCACAAGTTTACTTGTTTCAGAAGTAATTCGGCTCCAACAATAAAGATTTATGTAACAGCCAACAAGGAGGAAAGAAGTTGGAGTCAGGTAGCCACATTTGCTCCCAGTGATAAGCTATGAGTTACAATCCACGCAAATGGAATTGGGTCCAATGACAAGACCATCCTGTCTGGCTTCAAGGCAGCATAGAAACAGATAGATGGGGCCCATTATAGTGAAAATTTTGATAATATGACTGTGGCATCAAATAACCCAGAATTCCAATAAATTAGGTAGCCTAGAGGGAGGATTCATTGAGTACTATCTATCTATAAAGGAAACACATCCAAACCAATCAAACAAAAAACCTTAAATGGCATGATTAAGAGATCAACTTACTTTACAAGCATTTCCAATTACTTTAGAACAAATTGTGGGAACAATTGTGATCCTGTGAATTTGATATTGTTCTTACTGCAGTTCACCAAATCTATGATGATATTGTTAGGTTCATTCCAATTTCAGAGACATTAACTTGATCAAAAAATAAAGAAGTTGTCTTCTGAAAAATGTCCTTTGATCAGGAAGCACTTTTGTCATCTCCTTGTAAACATATGTGTATAATGTTTGAAAATAATAATAAAATTATACTCCTCAGAGACTATTATGTTGCTTATGCTTTTCTCTAATCCATGAAGTCTTCCCTGTCAAATTGTGTAAGTTAGTATTTGACAGGCTGTGAAGTTAGTTATAAGGGGGTTACTCATGTTGCAAAGCACCTGAAATGTGTAGCAGGTCATATGTCTCATCGTGGGGGGGTCCCTCAATCCATGGCTCATCATCCCTTCTCCTCCTGCTATATTGTTTGGTTACATTTTCAGAAACTGAGGACAGGTGTATAATTCAGAATTTTCAGCTAATCTTAGTATTCATCGGGTGCTGAGGTCCGGGAGTCTGAGCAGGCTCTATCATCGTATGTCTTCCTAGCCTAGCAAATACTTCCTGGGGAAGAGGTGAACCTGGTCACTACAGCCCATTTCTAGGTCAGTATTTGGTTGGGGGAAAAATTACAATGCACCAGAGGCCATGGATTTGTTAGTTGTTCTTAATAATGGGCTTTACATTTTCCTCCATGTAGGTTTGGGGTCTACTTGTCTGCTTGGTGGTTGACATTTGGTTCTCAAAGATGAAGTCAAGAAAAGTTATTTAACAAAGAGGAAGAAATATTTACATACACTTGGAGTAGACTTTCTTTAACAAACCCTAAGTAACAGTATACTACCCATCAACATTGCTGTAAGTTACCTCTGAAAACATTTTCTCTCTTTCTTTAAATGATTGCACAATGCCTCATGGTATGAGTATATTAAAATTCCCTTTAAGAAAAGTTAATGCAGGTTACAAAAAATATGAGACAAGGAAGACTGTCTTTGTCCTAATCCATGGTTAGAAACTTCTAGTAGGAAAAAAAAATCTTCTCAGAAAAGAAGGAAACACATAGCAGATGTTTGGAATGCCCAGATGTCTCAGTACTTTTAAATTTCCCATAAAACATAAACATTTTGGGTGATAGTACCTGACTGCCCTAAATGATATATTTATTTAGTTCTGGTAGCTTTGCATTGAGGTCAAACTAAAATCTGTTCCAGGTATTATGAAAGGAAGAACTACAAACCTATATTTAGTTCCATTTCTGAAATGGTTAAAGCATTGCCCTGGACTATAAAACCAGGACTGTGGCTTGGAAACAATCTTTGATAATATCTGAAAATCTTCAAAACAAAATGCAGCGTGGCTGTATTTTTTTCTAACTGATCTGCTACTTGTGTATTTAGATGTCTGTCTGATTGTGTTCAGATGTGGGTAAGTGGTGGGGAGGAAAAAAAATATGTTTCTTAACTAAGGATAAAAAGACTTCAAATTGTATGTGTCTCACTTACATTGATAATTGCCCCACATTCTGCACTACGGTGTGGGGTATACTGCTAATTTGGTGTTTGTTTCTTCAGAGTCAGGGAGTTGTGGGGTGAGCAGGAGAAGAAGCATGGAAGAGAAGGGTGTCACAGACAGGAGGCGATCTCCCAGCCATCTGGAAAGCAATCAGAGGGTACCTATCCCTCAAGGGAGATCTTGAGAGGATTTAGTCCTTTTTACAGTGACTTCTTTTAAGAGTAACTGATTTGGGGGGATTCCCTAATCACAGCCTCCTTGATCATTATGGAGATATCAGTCTTCACTGTCTTTTTAAAACTTTTTCTGCAGAAGAGCAATTGGTACTATATAGGCACCAATGACCTCAGCAAGGATTCTCGAATATTCATAGCAAAGTCATTTAATAAACTGACAAAGGAAGGACGTGTTCTGAGATCATTGAAGTATCACACTTTAATCTTAAAATGTATACGGACTTTGTTATTGATAACATACATAAGGATCTTTTATATATACATATATATAAAGTTTACATATGTATAATTTTAATAAATATGATATCAAACATGCTGCTTTGATGCAATTTTCCTCTCATTTTCTTTTTGTTCATTTTTTTTTGCCGTTTTACCCACAATTACTTCCTACCCCTTCAATTTAGGTTAATAACTTGGTGTGTATCTTTCATATTTTCCTATATGCTCACAGAATCATATACAGCATACACTTGTGTGCAGACACTACACACATACATATATGTAAACACGAACATGCATTTATTTCAAATTTTGTGGAAATAGGATGACTTAATACATAATTAAGACTGAACCTGGCTTTATACACTCAACAATAATACCATGTGGAAACTTCTCTAAATAAATAGTTACCTCTGAATACATTTTCTCTTTTTTTTAAATGATTGCACAATGCCTCATGATATGAGTATATTAAAATTCCATTTAAGAAGAACTTTGCTTCCCATTTATTGTCATTGCTAATATATATTATGTATAAAATAATGTGTATATATTCATACATACACATGCGTGGGATTTGGGGGTTGAAGTCCTCAAATATTTTTAATTTTAATAAACTTCACAAGTTTGCACTTTTAAAAAGCTCATATTAATTCACATGTTTATGTGCATGTATTAGAGTAAAAGTAATGTCTCAACACTTGCTGTTCCAAGCATGGCTCATGGACCTGCAGCTCCGGCATCGCCCAGAGCCTGTTAGAGCTGCAGACTCGAAGTCCTACACCAGAAAGCTCTGGATTTACAACCTGAATTTTAATAATATTCCCAGGTGACT